GAAGCATGAAAGTCATATTAGGCAATTTTGGTCAAAACATCTTTGTGCAAACACAAACCCTAATTTGGGTCAACAGTGCAAGGAGAAGTCTTGAGCAGATGAAACCCTAACTGGATCTTGAGTTCCAAGGGCTTTGTGATGAGAAATTATTGAGAGAAATGGGAGGGCAAATTTTAGGGTACAACATGTATATTTGGTGTATATGCAATGGTGTATCCATGATAATTGATTGTATCAGGTCCTTGTGGACGAAGTGCATGTTTATGTTGTTTGATGTGTGTATGATAGATAATGATATCATGCTTCTTTTGGTTTTGGTTCAGTTATGATAAATTGATGTATTTCATAGACTGATTTGATGTTGCATGCTGGTGATGTGCATGCATATGCATTGTTTTGGTGAAGTTAATTCCCATTGTATGGAATTTGACTTGTATTGCCGTTAACCGATACCCGAGAGATGATGGGTGGTTAGGCTGGATTCGTGTCCAAGTGTTATAGACGAATCGATGATTGCTTCGGCTGGATTCATGTCCGAGTGTGATGGACGAATCGATGGTTGCTGTATCCGGTTGATGATGGATCAGTGATGGGTGACTTGGTCACGTGATTGGTACCACATGCATCGTGTCTGCATTTGTGTTTGCATGGAATTGTAACATGTTAGGATGTCTTCCAGTGTTACAATTCTTTGGTTGATTATTGATTTGTGCATAATGACTTGTATGATTGGAACTGTGTGTTGAATCTGAGTTTATGCTAAAATGGGTGAAATAATATGCTTGTGATATAATGTTGATTGAGAAGCTTATAATGCATGTTAATTATGAGAAATCTCACCCTTACTTTAATGATTTCAGATTAAAGTTAGCAGCTCAGGAGTTGGTGAGGATGGCTCTAGAGCTATGTTATTTTAAGTCCGCGTGTCAGTGTCGTGCTCCGATAGGTTGTAACACTGGGGGAAACGTTTGAATGACGAGTTTTATTTTATACTCTATTGTTTAATTTATGTTGGGAATACTTATGAAGTGAAGTTATTCCGGTTTTGAGATATTTCCGTTGTGTAGAACATGATGTTGATTCGAATATTTATTTTAATAATTCCTTCAGTAAAGCATGACAACTGTAAATTTGAGGTTTTATATTTATCTTGAATTGTGACATCTCTGTTTTTCATGTTACTCTGATTTAATTAATATATTCGCGGGTTATTTAGAAGGGGTGTTACACAACCCGTTCTCAAACTTGATGCACTTCGAAAACTCAGCATCTGCCTCAGCGTAGTGAGGATAAAGCTTAGCCAACTCAGAAAACTTGGCAGCATACTCAACAACTGACATATTCCCTTGCTTCAGCTCAAGGAATTCAATTTCCTTCTTACCACGTACATCTTCAGGAAAGTACTTCCTCAGAAATTCCCTATGGAACACAACCCAAGTGACATTTTCACATGCAGCTTCCAACCTCTGACAAGTCTCTAGCCACCAGTCATCAGCCTCGACTGCTAGCATATGAGTACCATACCGAACCTTCTGCGCTGGAGTGCAGTCCATCACATGGAAGATTCTCTCAATCTCCTTCAACCAATCCAATGCTCTGTCAGGATCATACTTTCCCTTGAACATAAGCGGATTCTCTCTCTGGAAAGTCGCAAGCTACAAGATCCAACATTCCCGTCAGCATTCAACTGATTCTCCATCGCATGAGCCATTGCTTCTAAAGCAATAGCAAGTGCAACATCATTCCTTCCAGCCATCTCAACTTATCACTACAACATAAACAACGGTTAGAACTCAAATTAACAATACTCAATCATTAGACAACTACGACTTGACTACAAGGTCGGACCAACCTTTGCTCTGATACCAACTTTGTAACACCCCAATTCTACCCGGAAATTATAAATGTAAATCAGAGTTATAATCATTCATGCAAACGAACTAGGATGCCACAAATTCATCTTTAAAAACACATTGCATTCAACGTGGATACATAACACTTTAAAATTTTGGATGAACTATCAGCATAATAATTTAATCTCTTAATTCAACAATCTAAACATCTATGCAGCGGAATTCTTAATAACATCTTTATCCATCATTACAGCAACTTCAAAATAATACATACTTAATAACAATCAAATTAAAGTTCAATAAATGAAATTATCAACAATTCAAAGCAACAAGCGTTCATCCTCCCAAGTGTTACATATCAGAGCAATGACACCGACTCGGACTACTGAAGGTATATAGCCTTCACTCTCGATTACCTACACGTTACCAACGTAAGTGTAACATTCAAACAGAAGGGGTGAGATATCTAACAATATAATAAAATGTAGGATAATTAATATATTAAATTAGATCACATAACATCACCACTTCTCATCTTATAATCAACAATAATCGCAATAGAAATACCAACTATAATACGCATTCATCACATCAATTCACAACTTCTTTATGCAATCATATAATGCGACTCAATACTATGCAAATGCATGTGGTACCATTGGAGCAGAACTCCCATCTTAAAAATCTGCCAATAAATAGAGGCATCAACAAGGCATAAGCCTTCATCTTAATATTCGCCAATACATGCCATCTTAACGAGCATAGCTCCATCTTGAAATGCAATGTATGCGACACAATCATGAATTTAATGAAAACACCATAATTAACAACATCTTAACATAACATCATCGTTGGTCATAAGCCTATATCTTAATAGCTGCCAATTGTTAGAGGCGTCTCAACATCTTTCATCAACATCGTTCATCAACATCATTTATCATCATAAATCATCAAACATCATTTATACATCATAACTCATCAAACATCATTTATACATCATAATTTATCAAGCATAATCTCATTAACATCATTTCACCAATAACTCAGTCGTACAACAATACAACAGTAACTCGTCAATCTCGCAACGTTGGCCATAGGCCTACAACATGATATTGCCTATAATTAATTAATCATCTAAGGCTTAATTATAAATTACCAAACCTCTACATATTACTATTCTGTAATACTACATCATTATCATCATTAATCCTAATGTTACAAACCAAACAATAATCTATAATCATTTCATCCTCATCATTCTTCATAAAACCCAACATAGCGATCAACACGGGGACTAATTCAAATCCTACTTTGGATACTAGGATTATACTTCCTATTATTCATTTTAATTGTTAAGAATGATGTTCATCGCGTTAGCTATTCAACGCTTCAAACGGCACCTCAAACGGAGTCCGAAAACTCAAGTTACAGCCTTAGGAAAACGAATCTGTCAAAACCCAGACAACATGGATCGACGCGTAATGCCTTGGGTCGACGCGTACTGAACTGATCATGCTACATGAGTCGATGCATACTCTCTTGTATCGACTCATACTAAGTCTGCAACACTGCATGTATCGATATATGCTCCTACGTATCGACTCATCCTGAGTCTAAAAGCCCTCATGTATCGACGCAGGACTCCTTCGTGTCGACTCATCCTGAGTCTAAAAGCCTTCTTGTATCGACACATAACATTTGGGGTCGACACATCCATTAATCATAGATAATCATCAACTATAATTATCCTATAATTCTACATCAAACATACAACATTAGGGCATCATTATTCATCTTTCAATCATCGATTCTCATCATACAACATCATATACATTCAAATCATGAACAAGACAACATTTTCACATCTAATACCATAAACCAATCATCATAAATTCTATTATAGAGTCAGAACCCCACCCTTACCTTGGATTAAAGGTTGCTCTATAACTTTTCCGATTGAATTTTCGTTCTGCCTCTTTTCCTCCTTTCCAACAACTTTCACGTTCTCTTCTTCCAACCCTTATTCTTCTTACTGCTTCTTCTTTTCTATTATTTCTACAATAATAAAATAACCCCATTATTCTCTTTATGCCTTAATGGGCTTAAGACTACTACACCCCCTTATTACTACTTACATCCTTTAAAATAAGCCCACATCAAATAATATTATCATTCTAATATTATTCCACCACTTAATAAAATAAATAAATCCAACTAATCACAACACATCAATTATTCCAAAAATAATTTAATTAAATAATTAATTAAATTACGTGCGCTACACAAAACGGACAGGTATGCTCGTAAGTAGTCGTTTGTTTCGAGAAGGAGAATTACAGGCAGATGGTCGTTTCCTGAGTGTCTGTTCGACCCGTGTTGGACCGACAACCGACACTCGCTGATCTGGTAGGCGTGTATGTCAGACATAAATGGTCAGAGACAAGTGTCGTGATCGAACAAAGTGTTGGGCCGCTGCTATCGGGTCATGCCAAGGGCATAAGCGGATTGAGCCACATCTAATCGTTGAGACTGTCCAAAAACAATAATTAATTAATTTAATTTGATTCATGCACCAAATAAATTGAACTTGAACTCAAAAATAAACTCGGAAAATATAAGAATTTAACTTAAACTCCGTTGAATTCGACTCGTTTATCTTAATTCGTATAATTCATTTATTATCTTTTTCATTTATTATTTAATATATATATATATATATATATATATATATATATATATATATATATATATATATATATATATATATATATATATATATATATATATATATATATATATATATATATATATATATATATATATATATATATATATATATATATGTGTGTGTTTTTAAATATTAAAAATATAATATAAATTTCTTAAAATCCAATCTTAAGAATCTTGTTTGTAAGGTAAAAAAAATTAAATATCTTACAATTTTTTTTTATTCTCAAGACTTTTTTTCTTCAAAATTGGTTCTAAAAATCTAAATTTAATCCCATAATTTATTAAAAAAATAATTAACTAAATTTGATAATCAACACTCCATACAAGAGACATTCATTTTTTATTTGAGCATTGGCTAAGGTTGTGGGAAACCAGAGGTAACAAAGTGAAGAGAAACAAGGAAGGTGCAATTTAAGAATGAGTAGCACCTTTTGTTTTCAGGTGCAACCACCTTCCTATGTGACGGCGACGCCGATACTCCGTGCGGTGGAGACTTGTTCAACCATGGCGGAACTGAAACAACACCACTCCCTCATCTTCCGCCTCGGTCTTTCCACCGACAACCACGCCATGTCTCGCATTATCAACTTCTGCTCCAAACACCACCAATTCCAGTACGCTCTCAAAGTCTTCAACACAGTTCCAAACCCAGACACCTTCCTCTACAACACCCTTTTCAAATCCCATTTCAATTCCCAAACACAAACGCCCTTCAATGTCATTCTCTTCTATTCCCACATGCTCCAACAATCTCTAACCCCAAACTCTTTCACATTCCCCACTGTCATAAGGTCTTGTTCCTTTCACAGAGAACTAAAACAGCTTCATGCCCATGTTATTAAATTCGGATTTGGTTCTGATGTATTTTCTCTTAACAACTTGATTCATGTTTACTTTAGTTTTGGTTCTTTGGAGGATGCTAGAAAGGTGTTTGATAAAATGCCTGAACGAAATATCGTGTCTTGGACTACTGTCATTTCTGGGTACTCTAACTGTGGAAATGTGGATGAGGCTTTTCGTGTTTTTGAACTTATGTCTGACAACAACTCTGCTTCTTGGAATGCTATGATTGCGTGTTTTGTAAGGAATAATCGGTTTAAGGAGGCATTTGATTTGTTTAACAGGATGAGGGCGGAGAGGGTTGAGGTGGATAAGTTTGTGGCTGCTAGTATGATTTCGGCGTGTACGGGGTTAGGAGCTTTGGAGCGGGGGAAGTGGATACATGGATATGTTGAGAGGAGTGGGATTGAGTTGGATTTCAAGCTTGCTACAACTATAATTGACATGTATTGTAAGTGTGGTTGTTTGGAGAAGGCGTTTCAGGTGTTTAATGGGTTGTCTAGAAAAGGAGTTTCGTCTTGGAATTGCATGATTGGAGGGCTTGCATTGCACGGGAAAGGAGAGGATGCAATCAGGCTTTTTAGGGAGATGGAAAGAGAAATGGCTGTCCCTGATGCCATTACGTTTGTTAATGTCCTAACTGCGTGTGCTCATTCTGGATTGGTTGAGGAAGGGCGATATTACTTTCGTTACATGACAGAGGTTCATGGTGTTGAGCCGTCTAAGGAGCATTATGGTTGTGTGGTTGATTTGCTTGCTAGGGCTGGAAGACTAGATGAAGCAAAAGAGGTATTGGATGACATGCCGATGAGTCCAGATGCTAGTGTATTGGGTGCACTTCTCGGAGCTTGTAAAATCCATGGGAAGTTCGAGTTAGGAGAGTCGGTAGGGAAGAGAGTGGTTGAACTAGAGCCCGGTAACAGTGGACGTTATGTAATGCTGGCTAATATATATGCTAGTTGTGGTAAATGGAAACAAGTTGCTGGTGTGAGGAAATTGATGGATGATAGGGGAGTAAAGAAGGAACCGGGGTTTTCCATGATTGAAATCGAGGGCAATGTCAATGAATTTGTTGCAGGGGGAAGGGATCACCCTCTTGCTAAAGAAATATATGCCAAAGTTGATGAGATGTTGGAATCAATCAGGTTGGTTGGTTATGTTCCTGACCCTGATGGTGTTTTGCATGATCTAGTTGAGGAGGAAAGGGAAAATCCATTATTCTACCATAGTGAAAAACTTGCAATTTGTTATGGTTTATTAAAGACGAAACGAGGAGAAACCCTTCGAATCACCAAGAATCTAAGGGTTTGTAAAGATTGTCACCAAGCATGTAAACTGATTTCGAAGGTTTATGAGTGTGATATAATAGTAAGAGATAGGAACCGTTTCCACCATTTTATTAATGGAGAATGTTCTTGTAAAGACTACTGGTGATTGATATTGCAATTAGTTACCAGATTCTTTATTGTATATAAATCCTTTAAGAAAATGATGCCTGTCACCCTTCAGAAAATAGAACATAGGCATGCAAAGTGAAATAATGTTATGGAAAATGAAAAAGAAATGCAATAGAAAGAAAGAGGAGGCCAAAGGGGGCGTGTGAGAGAAAATGGAGTATGTGAATATAATATGAACCATTATTAGAACATTAACATATGTCGTGTATCTAATCTTTAGTGTCCATATTTATGTATATACTTATGTAGAAAGGTATACAATAACCTTAAAATGTATGTACTGAAACATGTACATATTATAGTGTAATGGTCGTTGGACCCCTTTTGTTATTACCCTCAAATTATTGTCATGCTTGATCATTTCTGTGCTCCATAATTTGGTGAGAAAATGTTTTTCCACTTTGGAATATATCGGGCAATATTAATAATTTATTAGACATTTAAACTTCAAAAGCTAATGTTTTTTCCTATGATTTTTAAAGGGATCAGATACTCTAGAAAATGTTCTATTGAATATAAAAATGAACTAAACTATTAAAATACCGGTCACACCGCGTGGCTAATTTAAATATTTATGTAAATTTAAAATGGATTACTTGATTGTAAAATGATTAATAATAATATAAATTCAATTGTATTAAATAATTATATAACAAGAAAAATAGTCCGTGAATTAGAAAAAAAATTAATATTTGAAAATAACAATTTTATGTCTCAAAAATATTTTACTGATAGTGATGTGTAAGATGAAAAATTAATTGTGTGTATAACTATTGAGTATTATCTAATTTGATAAAATAAATTTTAAATTTTATTAGAAGTTAAAAATAAATAAATTAATATGTTTAATAATGAAAAATAAATAGAATCAATTAAATATATCGTAAAAATAAAATTAAACGTCAATATTATATACAATTATACACCAATAAACATTTAGTATAGTAATTATATATTATAATTATATATTAATATATTACAAATAATTTTCAATATGCATAAACAATATAAAAAATACTAATTGGTAATTTAAAAAATTTCTATATACTTATCTTATTTACTTATATATTATAATTTATTTATTTTTTGAAAAATAAAAATAAAATATGTCTTTCTTTTACAAATATAATGAAAACAATAACATATTTAACAAAATAAATGAGATAGATTTATTTATATTTAAAATCTGAAATTTTTTTAATTTAATTATTTTATTTGTTTGTACTTATCTGAATTATTTTTTTTGTTTCTTCATTTACATTATTGATAGATCTGAAAAATAAAAATAAATTAATAATTATAAAAATGTAAAATATTTATTTGTATTCACTCATATTTATTGATTTATTTTTCTATTGTTTTCATATGTTTTTAATGCTTCTTCATTTATATTGTTGATTGATTTAATAAACAAATATAAATTAGTAATTATAAAAAGGTAAAAAAGATAAAATAATAAAATAAAAAGATAAATAAATAAGATTTAATAATACACGGACAATGTAAAATAACTTTACATTGTAAGTGAAATCATAACGATTAATTTTTGTAGAAATTTGACTTTTTATTTAAATTATATATAAAATATTTTTTTTTAAAGTTATGACACAAATCATGTAAAATATTTCACCTTGATAATACACTGCCTTTAAACTCAAATAAATACTATATAAAAAAAATAAATTTAATTTAAAAGAAATATGAGATTGCAAGAAAAAAAATGAAAGTTGAAAAAGTGTCAAGTGAAAATTTGATACTTGAAAATATTTAATTAAAGTAAAATAAATTAATTGAAAGATTAATTTTTTCCTATTTTAACTTTTTACAAGTATAAGTAATTTTAAGTGAAAGGTATTATTAATAATTTGCATGTATATAGTTGATTGAACCTCCCAGCTTCATATCGTCTATACTTGGGTGCCACTTTCTCCTTTCCTTGATTGTTGTTTTTAAGGATATAGTATACAAAATGCTTAATAAAGTATATTTGCTTTATTTATATGGCAAAGGTATTTTGATTTTTTTAAATATACAAATTTTAAAGGAAAATAAAAACATGAAATGGGAATTACTTTGGTATGAAATACAAGGTGATAGTCAGATTTGACACTTCCTCTGATTTGTTATTTGCATATGTGTATGCAACTAACAAATATGTTAATCGAGAATCATATAGATTTTATTATGAAATTATAATTAATAGAAGAATGGAGAATGCGATATGCAGCGGTAGACTGAAACTTTTGATGTGGTGAAGGAGGGCTTGACTTGTAAAATTGACACTATAATGCTTAAGTCAATAAGTGAGTGAAATGAGTGAATGAAGTTTAAATTTTAAATTACGTCCCTGGAGAATGACACACTTTCATTTATATAGTGTAGCAGTTGTAACCATATGGTATTCTTCATGCGTAGGATGTGGGGAGCCGTTGGATGCATCTTGGATATGAATCTCATATGATCTTCCCTAGGGTAATACCCCTATGCTGCAAGCGCATAGGCGAATTGTTGCTTTCTCCGGGACACAGTCGTCACCCATCTGGTCGGCCCAAAATAGTTCTCTCCAAGCTCTTGTCTCTGCTTTGCAATGTGAGGGATTTTTTCGTATTTGCCCTTTCGTGTCGATCATATCCCGACTTAAATGGAAAGTTAAAAGGTGACGTTATTGTCTTTGAGAATTCGCACCTTTAATGCACCCTATGCTACAAACATATTTTTGTACATTATGTCATGATGATCTTAGGAAACCGAAATATTCTAGTGCTTTCCTTAGGCGATCTGGAGCATTGATAGCGCTTATTACTTTTTGGTAAGCCACGACGCGATCTATGAAGAATTAGATTTGCAGTTTCTTGAGACGTTACATTTGCCTTTCTGTTCACATGTACTTTTCACAACATATTATCTTTCTATAACTAAATAAAGAAATGTATATCATGAGTTGAAAATCCAAAGAAGATGTTTCACCTTCTTGGGTTGATCATGTGGCTTCATCAACTACTTCTCTCTTTGATCGATAGAGTGACCTTGATAGAGTCTTTCATAATGTAGGTCCTTCCTCAAATTAGGTGTGTTGACCCCTAATAAAGACAAACGGATTTGCAATGAATATGGAGAATACGCCGTTCCCTTTTATGAGTGAATTTTCCCGATCCTGGGTTTCTGCTCGCCCTTCAATAACTTTGAGATAGAGGTTTTAAACAACTCGATGATTGCTCATTCGTAGTTGCACCCTACGAGTTAGGCATATATTAAAGTCTTCTAATACTGGTGCAAATATTAAAGGGTGAAGCCATTTTTGTCTCTTTTCTTCCATCTTTTCAGAGTACATCGTAGTTTAACAAACCAGACGTGGGGCCAGAGCTTGATTAATCTGATGCAAGTTATACTTGTTTCAATTTTTTTTTAGAGAACCTAAAGCATTTCGAAATTTAGTTTACCTTGTTGTTCCCCCTCCATAAAGAGGCCCATGCAACGATATGTCCCATAGGGTCTTTGTGATCGGTGGAAATAGAACTGACTGTTTTTAGTTGGTTTCGCGAAATATCGCGGTAAGCAAGAGTCGCCACCGTCTTTTATGTTCTCCAACATGGAAAGGACAAAAGCACGGCAAAATTTCTTATTCGAGAATGTTTCTCGGTTCGGGAGGTAGATTTATAGAAAGGGAAGGTGTTAGCACCCTTTCTATCTGTGGTTATCCACGAGCTCTTAGGTACTTGCTCTTATGTTTTCAAAATTTGTTTGCTTTTCAAGTGTGTGTGGGTTTTGAAAAAGTTTCGTTTGAAAAAAATTTCTAAGTAACTCTTGTATCTGTCCTCAAGAGTGTAAGAAAAATTTGTTTGAAAACTTTTGAAAGTGTAGGTGCGAAAAGTTGTTTTTGTTTGTTTTGAGAAGAGCAAGTACCCATGAGATCTACCTACTCTAAGGAATTAGGCTGTGTAAGAGTCCTTTAGATAGTGCTATCCCACCATTGAGAGGTAGGTAGCACCATCATTGGAGGTGTTCGGGTTAATTCGATTATAAGGGACAGTGTGGTCACCGAAGCAATGGTAGGACGTCTTAGAAGTAACCCTAATGTCCTAGATCCTTTTATCCGAGGCAACCGTTTCGAGGCAACTGGATCTTTAGACAAAGGGCGACCTCTAAGACACCCTATACTTGATGATCACGTTCGAGGCAACCAGTGAGGTGTACCCTAGGAGTGGCATGTGCTTTGTGTGTTGTATTCAGTTAATGTTTGTCTTTGTACATGTTATTTGTGAGCAACTGATTAATTTTATTTTTTCATACATTCTTTCATGCATTGTTAACAGTTAGAAGTGCGGAAAATAAATTGCGGAAATGTAAAACTAACTATTACAAGGCGCGGGTCTATACATCGCCAAAAAACAAAAACCCGTTTTGGTAAATAAGTGCGAGAAATTAAATAAAGCGGTAAAATTCCTAATTAACTATTACATATCTGGAGACAGTTACATAAATAATCAAAATAAAATAAATGCGCGCGAATAAAAATTTAATCGGGAACGTCCTAAGGGTTTTAACCCTTTTGAGAAAGAAATTGAATTTTGTCATTTTTTAATGAAATGGAATTAAAACTAATTATTTAATTTATTAAAAGAAAAATGTTTTTGTATTTTTTATGTTTTTAATGAAATAAAATAAAAGGAATTAAAATTAAAAGTTAATAAAAATCTAATTCTAAATTTATTTTAGTTATTAAGAAAAAATGTTAAAGTTGCCTAATTAAAACTAATTCAATTTATTAGTATTTATTTACAAAAATAACATGAAATTAATAACAATAATAATATTAGTTCTTTTTTTGGATTTTTTATGAAAATATTAATTATGTTAATAATACTAATAATTAATAAAAAAAATGAGTTATAAAAGAAAAGAAAAAATAAAAAGATAAAAAGAAATAACAAAACCAAGGGGGGGTTGGGCCAGATTGGAGGTGTTAATGGAATTGTG